AAAGGTCATGGACTTCAGCCTTCGAAGGAAGATCTGGNGACCCTGGCTGGGCTGGACCGGAACCTGCGCTACCTTGTGGGCCATCAGTGAGTTTTTCAAAAGTTTTTTTGATAAATATAGCAGATACAACCGACACATGTGTAAATTCGACATAACCAGACATTTGTCTGGCTGTAAATATTACATGAGGTAGCGACACTATACGTCAGTTCAGAGTCAAACCGGAAGGTGGTGTTACGTATACCGAGTCATATAACTATCATCTACTTCATGATGCACAAGTCATACACTTGCAAGTAGAGGATAGGACCATTAAATGGCAAAAGGTATAGACAATAGATGGCATGTATCAACGTGACGTTACACATGGTATTGTCATTTTGTCTTTTTTCAGGTTCAAGAGTCACAAGTATTCCCCTTCTGAGTACAAATGAATCAACAGTGGCACAAGAAGAAGAAAGTCATGAATACATTTTCGGCAATTGGTGGTTGTCATCATGTGGTGAACATCTAACAAAAGATGAAAAACAAAAAAGTTTGACGGAGATTTCTCTCAAATAAACATATATTAAGTGATTTTCGTAACATTCGCTTCTTCTGAATTTACAATACATGTTTGTAAAAAGTAATTAAGGAAATGTTATTTACGAGTAACCTCTTCGATGAACCACCAGGCTTCTTGGGTTGGCCCGCAGATTATTTGTAATTGTAGATATATAGAAGTCATCACATATTGTTGTCTTTTAGTGCAAACTGCAAATAAACAAACCAAGAAACAAACAAGTGACCAATGATGGAAAGGCTAGGTACATGTAGAAAACGGTATAAGTGTGTGTGTGTGTGTGTGTGTGTGTGTGTGTGTGTGTGTGTGTGTGTGTGTGTGTGTATGTGTATGTGTATGTGTATGTGCACGTGTGTGTGTGTGTGTGTGTGAGTGTGAGTGAGTGAGTGAGTGAGTGAGTGACTAAGTGAGTGACTGAGAGAGCGAGATAGGGGAGAGAAAGAGAGAGAGAGTGTTTGTGTGTAAGAATGCAGGTCACCGATTAGATCATGTGTCATGAATTCGTGAGATCATGTGTTCATCTCTCTTAAGCGACTGTTCATTACCAATGTTGTAAGGGGCAGGGCTGGCATTTAAAGGGACATGACTCACGGCAACACGCTTTATAAGATAGTGGGCGTGTCCAGAAGGGCACACGTCAAGGTACCCAGTAACCCTTTGCATCCAATTGGAACATACACAAAATAGGGGCTGTTCAATGCTTGACATGTGTTGAAAGGCTCACCGACCGCCGGGTCACTTACTTTCTAAGACAATACAAGTCATCCGTCTGTCACGTGGCCACCGAACATCCCTATAAAAGAGAATGTAAGGCACACCACATTATTGTTAAACAACGAGGCAGGTGGGTAGAATAACGCAAGTCATCATGGCTGCTGCGGGACCCACGGCTGTTTTGAGTTCTGGCCAGACAATGCCACTTTTGGGCATGGGAACGTGGCAGGTAGGACTAGCTATAGGACGTAATACATTTCACCTTAATTAAGGAAATAGCTCATGTTCATAATTGTCCTTGCCATGTCCTTCCTTTCTCGTTTCCTCACAAACCTTTCGCCTTCTATCAAAGTTTCTTTCAATCACACTGCCTTCGCCAAAGTTCTCAAGTCTAGATCTTTTCGATCTTTCTCTGTTATCATCTTCTCCTATAAGGCTATAACAGTTATGTTGGTGAACTCCTTTCGTGACGGTTTCGAGCTGCCCTATGTATGCAGAGGACACTGGATAACGGTTAGAACTTAATAACCATTATCCAACCTAAACTGACCTAATCACCTGACGTACGCGAATTTAGAGTTTGTTACAAATCACCTACAGCAACGTAACACAATGATGCCGCATAGGGAACCATTACATGCACTTCCTTGTTCGACATTAACCAATATAGCCTGCTCAGCTCGCTAGAGCAGCGGCTCGAGGCAAATCTAGTCGCCACATAAACAACAAGGAGAAGTCGTAGACATCGTCCCTCCATGAAATAGCTTGTTATTTTGTAATCTTTTGGTGTATTTTAATAGAGATATTATGAGTCAAACTTTGTTTTTATCAGCAGAATGATAGATGTCTATAGATGTCTATCCTTTAAGAATTTTGTTGTGGCACTTCGTATTGGAAGGGGTTGCCCAAGCTGTCATGTGCAATCGTTTAGTGTCTTGTTACCATGGTTTGTTTGAGGTCAATGACCTCTCAAGCACCTGCCAGATGACCCAGTTCCCTGCTGAATGACCGATTAAAGATAAGATATATTTCCTGCAGAAATGGTCTAGAGGTAAAAATAGATTGGCCTGACCTGCCAGCTGGAGGTATAAACAAAAACACTCTGTGCCAATTTGGGGTCAAACAGACCATCCTATTATGAAATAGGGGTGAAAATGTGAAAATCCTTTTAAATAAGCAATGCAAATCTACGACAACCTGCTAATGCACGCTAAAACGCAAAGACAATCAGCATCTACCCACATACCAAAAATGATCGCCAACCATCCACCAGGTTCTGAGATCATTCAACGCAAACAATCTGACATTGAGATAGCAATTCCGGTTCAAAGCAAACAGCTAGGGGGCCCAAATTTACATCACTAAACCATTGTAACCACAACTACATGCTACCTTAGCATCGCACACACAGACCATAACGTGCCAACAATAGAATAAAAAAATTAAACTGCAGTACCAAGGTCAATCACCAGGTGCTCAAAGTCAACCTACACAATCTCCAAGGCTCCATCCATCAATCTGCCAAATATCATACAGTTCCTTCTCACCGATCTTCAGATATCAGACCAAACATGAAACGGAGTAAAAACAATACCCCCCATTTACATGGAGGGTAAACAGATAGGAGATAGGTTGCGCTCTTGTACAAATATTTGTGTTTTCACAGACCCTACAATCCTTGTACTCGGTGATATTCCTCTTCAGTGAGTTCGGATAGTTAGTGCAAATATGGGCTAGTATGGTCTGATTTCGTCTCTGATTTCAGTCAACGTCCGAACAAGTGATCAATGCCGTGAAGACTGCCATAGACGCCGGCTACCGTCACATCGACACCGCCTGGGTGTACGTAAAACGAGAAGGATGTGGGTCAGGCCATCAAGGAGAAAATCGCAGAGGGAAAGATCAAGAGAGAAGATGTCTTCGTCACCACTAAGGTACTACGGTAATGATACTGTCTAGTCCTTCACGCATGTTAAGTTAAATGTAATAATTAAATCTCTCATGATATTTTGTGATATTGTTCTCTTAGCATCACGACTTTCTCTCTCTCTCTCTTTCCAGTTATTTTACACCTTCCACCGACCAGAACATGTTCGCGAGACTATGATGCAAAGTCTGGGAAACCTGGGACTCGACTATGTGGACCTGTACCTGATACACAACCCGCAGTGTTTCAAGGTTAGCAACTACTAGTATTCTTAGCATGAACATTGGAGACCATTTACTCTTTGATTGAGAGACTGAATCAAGTGCACTTGTTTAACGGTCGCCCTGAGTGCCCGTAACGTATGTACTTGTATGAGAAATAAATAAATAAGTACTAAGTAAATAAATGAGAGATACAAATTTCCTTCCCATTAATTAGCACACATTGTTTTACTGCAGTACGGAACCAAACCCATGGAAATCTTCATGCCCAGTGATAACAAAGAGGATCTGTTTGATGACGTGGATCATGTCGAGACGTGGAAGGTAAGTGAAAAACTAGTAGCTAATTCAACATATGACATCATTCTAGTACTAAACACCAAGGACCCGCGAAAGAGGACAAACTCGCAGTCAGATGCACAGAATTTCAAAGAAAAGCGTGTCCTCGGTGATTGGCTTCAGGATTCAGGGATAAAACACAGATTATTGTGTGTTTGCACAATCAATTTTAGGCCATGGAGTCTCTGGCTGATGAAGGTTTGGCCAAGTCTATCGGCGTGTCGAACTTCAACAGCCAGCAGCTGGAGAGGCTGCTGCAGAACTGCCGCATCAAGCCGGCGGTCAACCAGGTATGTGTGTGTGTGTGTGAACTTTTCATTATATCTTTGTCAGGGAACTTGATTAGTATGTTCCTTCTAACACAAGGATATGTAGCAATGTAGCAGCTTATGTTGCAATGGCACGTACGCAGTTCAATACATTCCGACAGGTCCTCTCAAGGATTTCTTCCTCACTCCAGAAAACAACTAACAGACTGTACATGTATCTATGTTTTTTTACAGGTGGAGCTCCATCCATACCTGGCCCAGCAGGAGCTTGTAGACTTCTGCAAGCGGAATAACATTCTTATAACGGCGTACAGTTCACTAGGCGCGCCTGGTCGTCCCAAGTTAGTTCACCATAACTTACGAGTATTACGCAATCGTAATGTCTGTAACTATCTTAAAATCGATGTAACTTCCAATTTTTCCTATGTTGAGCACAAATTAAAAAGCATTTCGAACCAGATTTATGATGTTTTGTATTGATAGAAGATGTTAACATTTCGAAAGGAACAAAAACCTGACTGAATTCCTTCCCGTCAACCACTCCCCCCCTCCCCAGGTCTTTTCAGTCTGGAGAAGAAGAACCAGTCTTAATGGAGGATCCGAGTGTTCTTGCAATCGCCAACAAGTACGGCAAGTCTGCTGCGCAGGTATGTCTGCTCACCATAACATTATATTTGTGGCTTTGTTGAAACAACTAGCAAAAGATAATATGTCACAAATTAGATAACTAGTTTCCACGTGCCGAGGCTTTTGTTCCACCCACTTCTATCCTTTTATGTACAGGTCCTGCTCCGCTATCATCTGGACCGAGGAGTTTCAGCCATAGCGAAGAGCGTGACACCCAGCAGGATCCAGGCCAACATTGACGTCAGTAGCTTTTATACGATTTTGTAAAAAAAAAGCAATCACAAGTTTGTCATTTCCTTGTTACAGTCAAGACAACCATAGCGGATACAGAAATTAAGTATTTATAAACATCACTCAAACTTGCCAAGTAGTGTAGGGGACCTGCAGTTTTGTACCATGTCGTACGTTGAAATTGTGAATTTTCACAGACGTTGCTTGCCCGAGCAATCACCAGCAAACTGAAGCTGGATGTGCTGTCTGTATTGTTATCACAACACCACAAGGTACATTATCATGATATCTTTATGATTTATCATGGAATGACGTTAATTTTTGTCTTCTTTCCCTTATTGAAGATCATGGACTTCAGTCTTTCAAAGGAAGATCTGGTGTCACTAGGCCAGCTGGACCGGAAGTTGCGCTACGTTGGAGCCAACCTGTGAGTTTTTTTAAGGAGGAAGATGTTGAAGAATAACGTTTGACATAAGTATGCACATGTATATGAGGGTAGAATCACCAATTCCGCTCACAGAGATCCCTAGTGGAGTATAAATTTCAATATATTCCCCTATAAAGGCCATTTTTATCTTCGATTAATGTCACTTTTGATCCATGGATTAACTATCACTGTTGTAATTTTTGTGTCTTTTTACAGCTTCACCAAGCACAAGTTCTTCCCTTTCTGATGGTAACACGTCGAGATCGACTGTGGCACAAACTTGCGGAGCTTCATACAGTTATCAAGAAAGTATTGCATATGTTTAAAAATAAGGGTGGTTTCACATAACAGATTTATCAAATATAAGTAGACAGCTGATTTCTTTGGAAAATGATATCGTAATGTACGGGAATACAAGATAAACAAACACATATTGACAGATATACACAGCTGATATTCCCATACGTTGTCACTTGTACATAGGCACTATCAGCTTGTGCGACATTGTGAGATCCAACAGTCGAGTCAATAAATAAATGAATAACTTGTTGTGCATTTGCTTGTGTGTGCATTTTTGCTGTTAGCATATTGATATATTATTCTAGGTCCCTGATATGGTATTGAAGAATATATTTTGTACAGTATATCTGGTAAAAGAGAGATAGTGTGTTTGTGTGTGCGTGTGTAGGATATACATTTCCCTACGTGAATATGTATCTAAGATAGACACTGTATAGTAACGGGCAATATACGCAGGTATACTATAAGGATGTAGCCACAGTGGCCAAGTCATTGACCCTATCACCTTTGTACCGTGTCACCAGTGCTGAACTCGGATAGGTCAAAAGTCCAGTCCTTCAAACTATGAAAAATCAAGATGGCTGCTACGGTACCACTTGCTGCTCTTAGCTCAGGCCACAAAATGCCACTATTGGGCCTGGGAACATCAGAGGTAACGTTACACACACGGTGGAATTTCTTCATAGCACCTTGGTCACGATTGTACTTGTGAAGTTTTTTTTAACTGAACTTTTATTTTAAGCGTCTTTTAAGGTTACCAAACTCAATGGAGGGTGTAAGGCTTATATGCAGCATAACCAGCTACGCAGGTTAGATGGTAAAAAGTTCAGTACATTACAAATTTCGAAAAGCTAACTAAGATGGACCCACTGCTGTTCTCAGTTGTCACAAGATTGTCACTTTGGGGCCTGGGAACAAGACAGGTTGATGCTGGATCCGGACGGAATTACGTTTAGTAAATCCTAGAGGAGTAGCTCCAGTTCATGTGTAGGAACATACATGCACTACTGATGCACCAACCGCCTGGCTCAAGCGTATTTACCGTCGGTCACTTATTAACTACAGGACTTGAAGTGAAGTAAACATACTAGTACTTGGTGTGTGTGTGTGTGTGTGTGTGTGTGTGTGTGTGTGTGTGTGTGTGTGTGTGTGTGTGTGTGCGCGCGCGCGCGCGCGTGTGTGTGTGTGCTTGTGTGGGAAAATTTTCTTTTCGTTCGCTTACAAATACCGGTGTTTTGCACAGATACCACAATCCTCCAACATTCTTTTTAGTGATTTTTAGGTAGTGTATGAATGCGATGACAGGTTAAGATTTCGTCTCTTCAGTCAACGTCCGAACAAGGGATCAATGCCGTGAAGACTGCCATAGACGCCGGCTACCGTCACATCGACACCGCCTGGATGTACAAGAACGAGAAGGAGGTGGGACAGGCCATCAAGGAGAAAATCGCAGAGGGAAAGATCAAGAGAGAAGATGTCTTCGTCACAACTAAGGTACCCAGCGATATTGTCAATGTAAACTTGTGTAGTGTAAGAGTATAACTCATGCAAATCAGGGATGAATTAACTGAAACCAGTATCCAGTGTTCCTACTCACTTTCTCTTTCCAGTTATTCATCACCTTCAATCGACCAGAACATGTTCGCGAGGCGATGATGCAAAGTCTGGGAAACCTGGGACTAGACTACGTGGACCTGTACCTGATACACAGCCCGATGGCGTTTAAAGTTAGCATCAGCACTATTCATATTGCATTACATAACCGTTTCTTGTCAATGTTAGTGATGACCATAATCCAATAAACAGGCGGTAATGTACTTGTATACTATACGTATGTAAACAATGACGCCATTTGATTTATATACTAACAACAAGTGAGCTCTACTGCTACGATACAAACTGGAGTCTCAGAAGCATGACTGCCCAGTGTAAGTCATAAGTCATCCATATACAACAGTTTGATATACCCATATCTGATCTATGGTAATATTGACTGGGGATGTGCCTATAAAACAACACTGCAGCCCCTAGTACTACTCCAAGAAAGATTTCAGACAATGGCTCCAGTTTTCATGCAACCTCCGCCCCTAGATCTATTTACAAAGCTTAGCATCATGATATAAATAGACTTCATTTCACACTGTTCAAATTCCGTAATAATTTTCTAGCATCCACGTTTGACGGTCTTCTCAATTTACATTCCCAATTCCACAATTACTAAACATTAGTGGTGGTCGAAACTGATGTTTGGGGAAGACTTTTTGTTATCAATTATGTTCTGAAATATATCCTGCAACTCTCTTCCCTGTGCACAGTACGGATCCAACGTTTTTCAACCCACCAGTAATCCGGAAGACATCTTTGATGACGTGGATTATGTAGATACGTGGAAGGTGAGTGAGAACTGTTTTCAATTCACCATTTGTGGATATATCTGTTGCAGTATATCGACGGAACAGTTGTTGGATCTGATATCACAGCTAGTCGACTGTATCGTTTGCATGATCTTGATAAAATGATGTGGCAATTTTAGGCCATGGAGTCCCTGGCTGATGAAGGTTTGGCCAAGTCTATCGGCGTGTCGAACTTTAACATCCAGCAGCTGGAGAGGCTGCTGCAGAACTGCCGCATCAAGCCGGCGGTCAACCAGGTACGAGTAGGAGTCGTACTGTTAAGTGTCTCAGACAGATTTGTTTAGTGAGTGTCAGTCCTGTTTGGAACACAATTAAACGAACACAAATAGATGCAACGTTGATTTAAACCTTTTGAACAAAACAGATGACCGCAACGTGTCAACAGTAGTTTCCCGCTTACAAAAAGAAAAATAAACTGTGCCATGTCCGCCCCGAAGGGCGATTTAGTTGATTATTGCTGATACCAAAGCCCTGCCTGATTTCCGGAGACAGTAACATGGTACATGTCTGATCCGGCGTTGTGTAGGTGGAGCTGCACCCTTACCTGGCAGAGCAGGATCTTCTGGACTTCTGCAAAGGCAATGGAGTACTCCTGACGGCCTACAGTCCACTGGGCGCGCCTGCTCGTTACGGGTGTGTGTTGTTGTAGTTACCTTCGCCAAGAAGGTTATGTTTTCCTGGCCGTGTGTCTGTGTGTGTGTGTGTCTGTCAACAGCATAACTCGAGAAAGCTTAGATGGATTATCTTGATATTTGGTAGGTGGGTAGGTCTTGATGAGACCTGGAAATGATTAGATTTTGGACCCCCTAGCGGCTTGTTATGGTACTGCAGCTAAACTTCCGGTTTTGATATCTCATGATCTAGACATGCTGGGGTGGCGAAATTTGGATGGTAGGTAGCTCTCATGCTGGGGAAGAAGTGACATGAGTTTGGGCAGGAACTGCAGGGCTATCTGTTTGAAAATATTCAAAAGAGGATAACTCAAGAACCGGTGGACGTATCGTCATGATTTTTGGTTTGTAGGTAGCTCAAGTGACGCTTGACATAATTATGCGACAATTATGCAAATCTGGATCTAATTTGTATAATTAATGGGGAAATTCTATAAATCAGGTGCATTACATTATAGGACTATTCAAGCTTGTGACATGTGTAAATGAGAACGAGAGAAACACAGGCAGATATTGATTATGTAAATTAACACCTAATTTGCATAATTAATGAGAAAATGTTATAATTCCATAATGCTAACTGCCTGGAATTTTATTCTTGGGGTATTTGAAAGTTATTAAACATAACTTATTCAAATAAGGACCTCATTTGCATAATTATGGCTTTCTTTGTTAAGATAAGGCTGTCTTTTGATGGAGAATATGATCAACTATATAATACAATATTATAATACAATATTATATAATTATAATACAAATGAGGATCCTATTTGCATAATCAGAAGGAACCATCTTTGTCAGTCATAAAGATTAACATCATTTGGCGAAGGTATGAGATCGTGGGACTCTAGTTGTGTAATGTTATGGTTTGCGACCGATCCCATTAAGTTATGTACATATATATATGTATATATATATCTAAGTTATATTTATGTTTGGTTGTTATGGTGACTTTTGATTGCATTGTATCTGTATAAATCAAATTTTTCTCTCAGGAAAAGAGAGGCCGACCCAGTTTTGATGGAGGATCCGAGTGTGGTGGCTATCGCCACGAAGTATGGCAAGTCAGCTGCACAGGTACGCTAACACTCGTTAAATAGACTATCCTAAACATAAACAACGTTGAAATACTTTCAAAAGGTCTTTTCACATTTAAAGGCTCGTAACTTTCCGGCACAGGTTCTGATCCGCTATCATCTGGACCGAGGAGTTTCAGTCATACCGAAGAGCGTGACACCCAGCAGGATCCAGGCCAACTTCGACGTCAGTATGGCCGTGATTCGACATGTCTCTGTCATTAGTCAATTATTTCACAACTCAATATCCTATCGTGAGACCATTACCCCAAATTAACGTATCAATTTTTAAAAAAATGTTCCAACATCTAATCACAAGACCTGGTGTCTCAAGTTTTTTCAACTTATATTAATGCCGCCACCAACATAGGGACAATACAATACTCATTTTCACCTGAGCGAAGTGAGGAAAGTCGTGTAAAGTGTTTTTCCCAAGAGCACAAAGTCGGTGGCATGTCAGAACTCGAACCCGGGACCTCTTGGTTCCGAGTTAAGCACTTTGCCGCTACGCCTCATTACCCCACTAATCTATCTAAAAGTTACCATGTGTTGGCAGCACATACACTGTATAATATGTGGAATATGAGGTATATACATGTATCATCAGCTGATGGTTTATCATCAAATGATGCTGATGCCGTACTTATTTGATTTATTAAAGATCATGGACTTCAGCCTGTCACAGGAAGACTTGGCGATACTCGGAGGGCTTGACCGGAATTTGCGCTACCTTGGAGGCCACCAGTAAGTTTCTTCTTTTTCTGTGTATGATGCCATCTCTAAACTTAGCAGCTAGCTGCCTCATGAACGCTGACAAGTACCATTGGTACAGATCTCAAATGCTAGTATAGTATAGATGATAAAAGAGTAATTTAAAATGTGTTGCTATGTATACATAGTACAACATTCTTTTTTTTTTTTTTTTTTTTACATTTCCGTGTCCGCCACGGCACTTTATTCTCTCCACATGTATGTTACAAATAATATGTCAGCATATAAGCATAATAAATTAATGAAGTACATGAGTCTTGCGAACATAAAACATTTTTTGTGTGTGTGTGTGTGCTAATCTTATTTCTCTTTCAGAGACAGAGTAGAGAGTCTTATTCTTGTCATTCTGAATAGTAATCATGAGTGAATGTCTTAAACAAATGTAGCACATTGTGTTTTCTAAATAACTCAGGATGATCCTTGTATGATATCCAAGATACATAAATTGTATATTTTGCTAAGGTGACATAAAAATTATCTCCAAATAGTACAGAAGCTATCGTATTTGTGTCTATAGTAATATCATTTTCTGAAAGCAAGTGCTTAACTCCCCCCAGTAGTCTTTGATCCTTTTACATTCAAAAAACATATGAACATAGTTTTCATCTTGGTTACAAATGTCGCATTTGGGACTGTATATGGTTCCTAGGGTATTAACTATTTTCCATTTGTTCAATAAAAATTTGCAAGGAAGTATTTTATGCAGTAATTTAAAGTTGAATTCTTTTAATCTATTTTCTTTTAATC